TTTTGTAAGGACACTTTTAAAATGTGCATTTTTGTTGACTATGAGCGTTGTTGCTTTCATGAAGTTTCAACCCCAGCTGTTACTGCTGGTGTGTTTGCTTCTGCCCTCTCAATTCTTCCTGCCTAAATTAGGTTCCGTGAGGATACCCTCTAAGCCAATAGATCCCAGCCTTGGATCCCCAGATCCTCTTGGACTACAGCTCCCAGAAATCCTTGGACTTTTAATCCAAGAACATGTGGGAACCCAAGGTTGGAAACCACTGATGTAAGCCACTGATTCTAGGCATGCGAAAAGCCTTTTGTCCTGATGCCATACCATCACACCCCCCCCCCATTTTTAACCAAACTTGGGAAATGGGTTGCTGGTTTTGTTTATGGACAGGAAATTGAACTTCTGATAAGTAATATAGAAACTTTTTCATAAGTCAGACGGGAATGGCCAACAAAGACTTCCCTTGATTATAGCAAATTGAAGGGCATTTAAAAGAGTACAGGAGCTGTTTTTCAGCACTGCCCGAACTAGTCAGAAGAACTGCCATGGGCATATAGGACATCTGGACAGAGGTGTGCTGCTTAATGCTTATATAGCGCCCTATAGCGCTTCAAGCACTCTCTGGGTGGTATACAAGTTAATGATGCAGGCTACTCATTGCCTCCCCAGCAAGCTGGGTACTCATTTTGCCAACCTCGGAAGGAGGGAAGGCTGAGCAAACCTTGAGCTGGCTACCTGGGATTGAACCCCAGATTGTGAGCACAGTTTTGGCTGCAGGACAGCAGTTTAACTGCTGCGCCATGAGGCTCCTGCAACAAGAAAAGGTGCCCAAACATCCACTTAGCTTTTTCAACAGGTCTCCCTCTTTGGTGTTTCTTTCACAGCCACGAAGCTCCAGAGGGCGTTCCAGGGCTTTCTGTTTCTACTGATCCTGGCCAGCTGTGTCAGCACCCTCAGACCTTCCAGTATCAACCTGCGGACGTTCATTGGCTGTGCCGTGCGTGAATTTACGTTCTTGGCCAAGAAGCCAGGTTGCAAGGCAATGCGCATCACCACGGATGCCTGCTGGGGCAGATGTGAGACATGGGAGGTGAGTATCTGTAGGTAAAATTTGCTTCTCTTTTCCTAGCTAGGCTGCTGAAGCAAGAAAAGGTGCTATCTGCTACCACCATCTGTATTGCAGCTGAAGAAATATGCAGAATTTACTCACCTTTTGCTGCTTATGAGAGAGGCAAAAAGAAGCCAGGGTCCTGAAACAGAGCTGGGAAAAGTTACCATTAGATGATGCTGGCTGGGGGGAATTCTGGGAATGCAGTCCAAAGTTTATCTGTTCCATAGAATCATAGAATAATTGAGTTGGAAGGGGCTTATGAGACCATTGAGGCCAACCCTATGCTCAATGCAGGACTCCAAGTCAAAGCAGATCTGACAGATGGCTGTCCAATTTTCTCTTGAATGCCTCCAGTGTTGGAGTGCTCACCACCTCCCAAGGCAGTTGGTTCCATTGTTGTACTGCTCTAACAGTTAATAAGTTTTTCCTGATCTTCAGCCTAAATCTGGCTTCCTGTAATTGAGTCCATTATTATGTGTCCTGCACTCTGGGATGACTGGGAACAGATCCTGCCCCTCCTCTATATGACTACCTTCCAAGTATTTGAAAAATGGTGTCATATCTTCCCTCAGTCTTTTTTTCCCCTTAAGGCAGAAGAGAGATATGATTTTGTTGTTGTTTAGTCGTTAAGTCGTGTCCGACTCTTCGTGACCCCATGAACCAGAGCACGCCAGGCCCTCCTGTCTTCCACTGCCTCCCGGAGTTGGGTCAAATTCATGCTGGTCTCTTCGATGACACTGTCCAGCCATCTCATCTTCTGCCGTCCTCTTCTCCTCTTGCCTTCACACTTTCCCAACATCAGGGTCTTTTCCAGGGAGTCTTCTCTTCTCATGAGATGGCCAAAGTATTGGATCCTCAGTTTCAGGATCTGTCCTTCCAGTGAGCACTCTGGTTTGATTTCCTTCAAAATGGAAAGGTTTGTTCTCCTTGCAGTCCAGGGGACTCTCAAGAGTCTCCTCCAGCACCACAATTCAAAAGCAGTTCTTAGGTGGTCAGAGATATGATCGCACTTTTCAAATTCTTCAAAGGCAGTCATACAGAGGATGGGCAAGATCTGAAACAGAGGCTGGAAAATTTACTTCTGAATGATTCTGGACTGGAGGATTCTGGGAGTGTAGTCCACAAGATTATTTGTTCCAGATTGACCTTATGCTTTATTTTATAATTCTGTATAATTTTTTCACCGAACTCTCACACTTTTGAGGTTTCATTACCCATAAACAAACAAACCGACAGTCAAAATATACTGAATTCAAACATATATTGATTTTCATTAGAGCTAGAAATCTGCATTAAAGAAAGCTGAGATTCCTTGAAAGCTGATTTCTATGCTCAGCATTACATTCTTGATTTCCATCTCATTTCCATGATAGCAAGGCATATAGAGTACATATACACAGTCTCACCCACATTGACTTGACCTTTGGGTGATAAGCCTAGACATGTTTTCTCAAAAGTAAGTCTTGTTGGCTTCAATGGACTTACACCCATATAAAAAGTTATAAAAATGTAAGCCTTGATGAATTAATTAGCAACTAGTGAATTAATAATAAGTGCATTTAATTGGTCCTTTTTAATATAAAAAAAGATGGCAGTATAAAGAGAACATGTGCTTACAATTTCTAATTTACAATACACTTCTCCCTTGAATTGCACAGTTTTGAGCAGCACAGTTTTGGTTGTATACAGATCCACCACCACCACCCTCAAAATAAAGAAACATTTCACTAAATAAATAAATATTCAACTGGCTGTGCCATACGTGAATTCAATAAATGTGGTGCTACTGTATGAATCCAGGAAGTGGACTCACCAAGGCCCTTGGTGGTGGCAGTGGCAGTGGCGTGGCAGCTCTCGATCCAAAGATGGGGGCCCAGCCAATCCCCTCTTCTGGCATGGGGACTCTATGTGGTGGCTGGGGAGCGGTCTTGAGGCATGCCAGGAGGCTAACGCAGGTTGGGGACGGTCACAGCAGTGTGCTGCTCCATTGGGGTGGAGTGGGGAGGAGAGATTGCGCCTCTGTTTCCCCCCTCTGTTAGAGATTTTTTTCCTGTCTTTTAGCCGCCTCTCTCTCTTTGTGTGTCTATGGTTAAACTGCTGTACTGCAGCCAAAACTGTGCTCACGGCCTGGGGTTCGATCCCAGGTAGCTGGCTCAAGGTTCACTCAGCCTTCCATCCTTCCGAGGTCGGTAAAATGAGTATCCAGCTCGCTGGAGGGGCAATGTGTAGCCTGCATAATTAACTTATAAACTGCCCAGAGAGTGCTTTAAGCACTATGGAGTGGCATATAAGCAGCACACTTTGCTCTCTGTCTCTGTCTCTGTCTCTGTCTCTCTCTCTCTCTGTGTATGTGTGTGAGAGAGAATGAGAATGAGAGGGAGAGTATCAGCTCTTTATGCTTTGAAAAGTTTGTAGTTATTTTTGGGAAACAAGACTTACACATGGCTTTTGAACTACACTGGTGTTGTTGAAAGGAGAAGTGTATTTTTAAAAAAATCTGTGTTCTGTTTGGGTGTGCATGGTGTCTTGATTTCTGATGCTACACAGTGACTGAAGGGCAATGGGCCCGATCCAGTAGCGCTTTGCTCTTCCCAGATGACCTCATGAGCTTCTATATGCTTGAAACGGGGCTTCATTTCTGCCGAGAATGATTTGCCTTAAATTCGACAAGCACAGTTCCTCTGCTTCTTCTTTAAAAAAAAAAATCTTTAGAGTGTTGTGTGGCAAAATATTTATGTAATGCTTTCATTATATAATTTTGAAAGCCTCTTACAGCTTAAACACTTAAGGGGAAACTGTCCTTTATGACTTCACTGACAGGCAAATTCCTCGGAGATTAAAACAGAGCCCCTGATTCACTAGTGATACACTTTATTCCATAGCCCCACAATGTGTCTGCTTCTAATTTTGGATTGCCTCAGCACTGTGGCAAGGGTGGGAGGGACCGGAGGGGCAAACAAGTCCACACACATGAAGCAGAAAAGAAAAGCGTGACTAATTTTAACCCACCTTGAAGGCAGCATCAGGCCGAAGCCCTAATTTCCCTCCAAGTCATGGGAAACCCCTTTCGGCTTTCATAGGAATTTAGTATATGAAAAGAAGAAGAGAGAATATATGTACATGCTTGTTGTGGGAAAATCTATGGCTGAATTCCACCAACGGAATTATTAATTGTTGCAATGTTTTCCTTCCAACGTGTGCCAGCTCTGGCCATATAAAGCATCAGGCCGAAGCCCTAATTTCCCTCCAAGTCATGGGAAACCCCTTTCGGCTTTCATAGGAATTTAGTATATGAAAAGAAGAAGAGAGAATATATGTACATGCTTGTTGTGGGAAAATCTATGGCTGAATTCCACCAACGGAATTATTAATTGTTGCAATGTTTTCCTTCCAACGTGTGCCAGCTCTGGCCATATAACAACCGTTCCCTCATCTGAATCTAGTCCAGCTTTGTGTATGACACAGATGGAACAGGTGATAAAATGCATCCTTTTCTGACACTTTTCCTTATAGGAAACCACTATTTATTTGTTTGTTTGTTTGTTTATTTATTTGTTCATTCATTCATTCATTCATTCATTCATTCATTCATTCATCTACATACCACCCCATTAGTGCATAGCAGTATTCTGGGCAGTTAACAATGTAAGGATTAAACATCTGGAATAGAAATTAACATGAAAATCAACCTGTGAATCAAATAAAAACAGATGCCACTAAGAGTAGAAGAGCCGTTGACCAAGGAAAGGCAGTCATGGGTAATGGTTAGTGCTGGACTTGGGAAAAAAAACCCACACATCCTAGACAGCCACTGTCGGCCAAATATATATAGGTCGGATAAGCCTGAGAAAAGGGATCACTTCGACACACAGCAGACAGTTAAACCTGTGGAACCCACTGCCACAAGGGGGTGGCCAGACTGGACAGCTTGGAAAAGAAGCTGGGTACACTCAGGATACAGTAAGTATTACCTCGAGACATGGGCTATTCATATTCTTATCCCTGGGGATACAAATACAAACAGCAGCACCACAGAGGCCCATTCCCTCCCAACAGAACAGTTCAGTCCACTCGCCAGTCGCCACCCAGCACTGGGGTCCTTTGTTGTCATGCTAAATCAGGAAGGAGTCTGACCGGTGCTTCCTCGCCTCCCTGCATAGCTAACCACTCTGGCAAGGAGGTGGGAATTCATATTCTTATCCCTGGGGATACAAATACAAACAGCAGCACCACAGAGGCCCATTCCCTCCCAACAGAACAGTTCAGTCCACTCGCCAGTCGCCACCCAGCACTGGGGTCCTTTGTTGTCATGCTAAATCAGGAAGGAGTCTGACCGGTGCTTCCTCGCCTCCCTGCACAGCCAACCACTCTGGCAAGGAGGTGGAAAGGTAGTCTCCCCACTCAGCTGATGAGTGGTCAGCTGCATGGGGAGGCAGGGCAGTGCTGGCCGGGCTCCTACTGGATTGGTGTGATGACGATGACAAAGAACACATTCACAACAACCAGTGAGTGGACCAGCCAATTCTGGGGGGGAGGGAATGGACCTCCTTGGCACCTAGAGTACTGCTATTCCTATTTTAATCCCCAGGGATACAAACAGGACTAGCTCATGTCTAGTATTGGAGGCTGTATATCATTTGCTGGGGATATGAGATGGGGAGTGCAATTGTACTAATGTCCTGTCTGAAAACTTTCAGAGGTAGCTGATTGGCCACTGTGTGAATTGAACACTGGACTAGATATGCCTTTGGTCTAATCCAGCAGTTTCTTATGTTCTTACATTTCTCGCACTAGTGAAGAAAGCTTCCTAGACATGGCCTTACAACAAGTGTTTCTGCTTTATTTCCCTTGGAAACAGAAGCCAATCCTGGATCCCCCTTACATCGAAGCACACCACCGTGTCTGTAACTATAACGAAACTCAGCTGATAACAGTGAAGCTACCAAATTGTGCGCCCAACGTCAGTCCCTTCTACACCTACCCCAAGGCCATCCGGTGTGACTGCAGCGTATGCCTCACCACAAGCACAGAATGCGAGACCATTTGAATCTCCTCACGGCTTTGGGCCGTCTTCTGCCCTCGTCAAAACTGTAAATCGAGGCAGAATGTACGTAGCGGCTCAGCTCGGAGGCTTTTCTGCTTCCTTGACCCTCATTGACAGATCAGCCGTGGATGCATCAGAACAAAATGCCGTTTCCATGATTCACATTAACCACATTTCTAGCAGCCTCGCACATTATCAACTGATATGTAATGTCTTTTTTCTTCTGGTTTCGTGGGCGTGATGTTTTTTCTAAGCTATATCCTGAGTTTGCCTGCTGGTGTTCACCTCAGGCTGTCTGAAAACATTTCACGTATGATACACCTCTTTGCAAGCCTCTTGCTCATATTTTTATATTCTTCAGTATGCGCTTAAAACAGCTTAGGCATATACAGAAGGGAGGTTCACAACTCAGTCTCTATATGAATCGTGCACAGTGGGGTTGGATGTACTGGACTTTTCAGAGGTGAACTTTATACCCCAGGTTCCAGTGGTCACTAGAGATAGGGGAAGAACTATCTCTAGTTTGGGAGTTCGTGCTGGTTTGTTTAGGGGCCAAGCAGGTGGTCTGTACTTCAAAGTCCCACCTCCTTCAGTGGGTGCCCACTTGGAGGCAGTGGTCTGGCTTTCTTGCCCAGCCTTCTCTAGGTTCCTTGAGTGGGAGCCCGGTGGAGGAGGTGGGGCTTTGAAGTACCAAACACCTGTTCGGCCGCTAAAATGAAACAACATGAACTGCCAAACCAGCTGCTTCTGCTCATCTCTAGTGGTCATATAATAGTAGGTTAGCAGATAATTTTGTGGTTAACCCGTACAGTGGTGCCTCGCATAACAATGATAATCTGATGGTGGTGAAATGTTAGGAAGAACAACCTTCACAACATGGCCAAAGAGCCCGAAAAACCCAGAACAACCATTAGATCCCGGCCGTGAAAGCCTTCACGAATATAATGATAATCTGTTCCAGGAAAATCGCCGTTAAGCGAAAACATCGTAAAGCGAAAATAAAAAACCCATTGAAACACATTGAAACCCGTTCAATGCGTTCCAATGGGGTAAAAACTCACCATACAGCAAAGATCATACAGTGGCCATTTTCGCTGCCTGTATAGCGAGGAATCCGTCCCTAAACACAGCGGGGAGCCATTTTAATCACCCGGCGGCCATTTTGAAACTGCCGATCAGCTGTTAAAAAACATTGTTTTGCGAAGAATCGGTTCCCGAAGCAGGGAACCGATCATCGCAAAGCGAAATTCCCCCATTTAGACCATCGTTTTGCGATCGCAATTGCGATCACAAAAAGATCGTCGTAAAGCAGATTCGTCATAATGCGGGGCAATCGTTAAGCGAGGTGCCACTGTATGTACCTAGATTCAGATGGTATCCAGCACTTGCATACAAAATGGATTTTAATGTGTGTAAAAGCCCACGTGTATAAATTCTGAATTTGACTAATCATCATCATCATAATTGCATGCTGTTAAGTCCATTCTGACTTATGGTGACTCTTTGCAGGGATTTCAATATAAAGAAAACACAGAAGTGGTTTGCCGTTCCCTTCTGGCAGCACCCTGGGATTTTTTTTGCTCTGGAATTTTATCTTGTTTCCAACTGAATAGGAGAGTTAAAAAATTTAACATCTAGCAGAATGACATGTATGGGGAACCCTTTTCAATGGTGCGAAAAACTAATCTTGGTGATCACAAATCAGTTCAGAAGCATCAAAACGATGAGACATTTGCATTTTTTGCTATCTTGCGATAACTATTTGCATTTCTTATCTCTTGGGAGAACTGTTTCCCTCTTACTCAAGCCCAGTGGTTCTCAGGTAACCCAGATGTTCTTGTACTGCAACCGGGTTTGAACCGATTTGTGCAAGTCAGGCCGTTGCCAGCTGCACACATACAAGGCCACAAGAAGTGTGGCCGGGTGAGCACACTCATTACCCTGTCCCTGCCTCACATAGGCAGGCAACCTGTAGCTTTTCAAAGGTTCTGGGACTACAGATCTCATCGGGTACAGTTATGACCCTGATATAGAGACTACATTTGTAGAAAATGCCTGTGGAAGGCTTGCCTTTCATAGGTACTGTACGAATAAACATGCCACCATCGTGCGCTACTTTCTGAAAGAAATAATTGGGTAAATGTATACCTTTAAACGAGATGGCTGGGCAGGGTCACCGAAGCGAGAAGAGACGATGCCCTGGAAAAGACCCTGATGTTGGGAAAGTGTGAAGGCAAGAGGAGAAGGAGACGACAGAGGACGAGATGGATGGACAGTGTCATCGAAGTGACCAACATGAATTTGACCAAACTCCGGGAGGCAGTGGAAGACAGGAGGGCCAGGTGTTTTCTGGTCCATGGGGTCACGAAGAGTCGGACACGACTTAACGACTAAACAACAACAACAAGAACTCTGGAGCAAGCTGTCTGAAATGCTTGCAGATTATTTGCCTTTTTAAGGCTCTGCTTTGACCCTAGATTCCATGTACATCAGTTTTTTAAAAAAGGAATAGCTGTTTGAATTTTCCAGGGTGCGTGTGTCAAACTACTTTTGAGAAACAGCACGGCAAATCATTGCTTTAAAAATATAACTCTAATGGGCAAATGATTCATTTTAGGGAAACTCAGGAGTATAACTTTATCTAGTTACTTTTTAAAAGTAGCTTAGCAGACAATGCATTCGCTCCAGGATTGGCATGTAGCTTTCGTCTGTCTGAGAGAATGCAAAGAGGAATTTGACAGGTTCTCAACCACATGGATCCAAATGTCTCTGAAGACACCTTCACAAATATCAGCTTCCTTTTTCATGGAGCATTACGGCGGCTGCAGCAATAGCAGCACCTTTTTCAGTCACAAAACTAAGGAAACTG